GATAAAACTACCACCATTCGATTCGTCTCAGTGAGACGATTCTAACAAGCTATGATACATCATTGTACGATTATTAGATGCCAAGTTATTTAATATATTTTTTATATAACTGTGATTATAAACGGTTCTTTTTAATATAAGATTTTTGAGGATAGGTGTGATAGTGAGTAGTGACTATAGATAGATTGTGACTATATAGGATAGATTTTAATAATAAAGTGTTTTGAACATTCAACTGGTATGACTATATAGTAGAATGTGACTATAACGGGAGTGACTATAGAGGGAGTTGACTGTAATTTACATTCGATATTAATGAAAAAAAAGGTGTTTATGTTCAATATTAGCGAAAAAATAGTGTTTTACGTTCAAATATTAATGAAAGTAATAGCTAAAATGAAAACATTTCGAGAGAGAGAGAGAGAGAGAGAAAGAGAAGCCGTAAAAAATACTGATCTACTTGATAATCGAAAGTTTATTAAAAGTATAATTCACGTGATTATAGTTTATTTTACATCATTACAATAAAATGATTACGCAAATCCATATCTATTACATAATTAAACTAGGACCCCGGATATCTAATATAAAGGTCATAATGGACTTTTGGCCAAAAACACCCCTTTTTGCTGAAACTCAAAAAATCGTTTTTTGTAAATATCTCAGCATCCAGTAATTCAATTTTAATGAACTTTTTTTTATTTTGTAGCCCTCATTTAGCTCTACAATTTAAAAAAAAGTTCATCAAAATTGGACTACTGGATGCCGAGATATTTACAAAAAACGATTTTTTAAGCCCCTGAAAAATGGGCTAATCTGCCGAAAGTGTGACTTATGACCTGTTTTGGAGATATCCGGGGTCCTATTAAACTAATCAAATCACATAACAAATGGGGTATAGCGATAAATCGCATATGCGATAAATCATAATTTTCTTTTTAATTTTAATTTTAATTTAAAATATTATTAATATTTTAATTTTTTTAAAAAAAAAATTTCAGTTTTTTAAACAGAATTTTAAAGAAATTTATTATTTTTTTTTGTTTTTATTTAAACAAAATGTTGAATAATATTTTAGTTTTCTTTTATAGATTTTTAGTATTCTAAAATTCTTTTAAATAGAATTTTGAAAATATGATACATTATTTATTAAATAAAATTAATTATTTTAAAAATCTAATTACTTATTAAAATTAGAGAAGTTACATACACAGTCTACTTGCTTTATAACGAAGTTTGATTTAACAAATTTCTTAATATAACAGATCTTTAGTATTGTTCTAATTTTAATATATTAAAAAATCGCCTTATACCTAAGGTTGCTTGTCTAAACCTCTTCAAAATTCTACGATTAGTTTTATCAAAATTTTACTATAGATTTATTATAGTTTCGGCAGAGTTTTGGCAGTTTCAGCATTTATAATAAGTTTCAGCAGTTTCGCCTTTCTCTAAAGTTTTGCCAGTTTTTTAATATAACTTTAATATAGTTTTAGCAGAATTTCGCTTTTCAGCAAAACGCCATTTTGCCTAAA